CCACTAAAGCATGTGTTTCACGAATAATATATCATCGTCTTAACTCTAGACGAATCCCATGCTAAGCATTACTTAGCAAACTTTTCAAATCATGCCCATGAGAATTGCTTTAATCCATATAATAATTTTTTAGTTTTAATATATTTTATTTTGAATTTGAACCCAAACCATTATTGAACCTCCTCTAGATCGCCATGTCAGAAAGCATTCTTCATATCAATTTATTTTACTTTTTAATCCTTGCTAGAAGCTAAAGGTAAAATAACTCGAGCAATGTTCATTTCAGCAAAATGAATGAATGTTTCAAGATAATTAATTCATGTGTTTTAGTATAACCGTTTGTCACTAGTCTGAATTGTACCATTCTATTAATCCATCGAATTTATACTTTGCAATAAAAACCCATCTAAACCATATTGTTTTCTTTCCTTTTAAAAGAGTCATTAATCCTAATGTTTTGTTCTTTTAAAAGGCTTCCATTTCTTCTATCATAACGGTATTTCAATTCTCATTATTTAAAGCCTCAGAGATAGTTTTAGGAATAGAAATAATATGCAGGCTAGTAAGGAAGGATTGATGGAGGTGAGACTTTTTGTATGATAAGAAAAATGTAGAGGATGTTCAGTTATGTACTTTTATTTGTAGGTTCAATAGTCTCAATGAGTTCAATGTTGATTGAGATTGGAATTACACCAATTGAGATGCATTTCTACTTGAGTAAACCTATATTGATTGAGTAGAAGTTTATTTAGTATAAGCTTAATCTATAAAGGAGTGGTTGGTTCGAGAGTAGAATGCGGTAAGGGATGAGGAAAGGCAATCTAAGAGAAATAATGCATTGAAGAATGATATTTCTTCATTGGGAAAATAGCAACAAAATAGAAATTCTCTTCATTGAAAGCGACATAACAGACCTATATACCTTTCTCATAGGGAGTGTTAACATTTGTATATTACTATATTGTATTCTTTTTTGGTAGAAGAGTAGCCAATAAAACCACAGTTAATTTCTCTTGAATCAAAATTTCTTGTATTTTGAGTATGTCTATGCACAAAGGAAACAAATTCAAATATGTTAGTAATAAGGTTATTTGAGGTGTTGAAGTCAGGAAATAACTTGCCTAGGATTGTAGTTATTAGGTTTCTGATGTGCGCAACTGTTAAGATAGCTTCCCCCCATATCATTTTGGAATATTCTTTTGAAAAAGAAGAGCTCTTATAACAGCAAGTAGATTGTCGTTATTTCATTCAGCTAGAATATTTATTGAGTTATGTATACACTAGATAATCAATGTATTATTCTTTTTTCTTGAAAATAAAAGAAGCGAGAATGATCAAGAAAGTCTTTGGCATTGTCAAATCTAATTCTTTTAACTTCAATATCAAATTATTTTTTTATCATGTTAAAAAAGGGGAGAACGATTATACTTACATCACTTACATCACTTCTTATTTCTAGTAAAAATATCCATATACCAATAAAGGACACAAACCATCAAGCCCAATACATTTTAGGTGTAGAGAATGATCCTCATATATCACTATGAATGAAAGAAAAAAATTTGAGTTATGTTACTTATTGAAAAACGGATATACAAGTTTTTGCTAACTCATAATATCAAGATAAATTATTCAATATAAAAAAAAATTAATGATAAAAATACATAATTTTGAAAATAACAAAAGAAGATGGCCAAGATGTAGGAGTTGGGGCCATACCTTTTATTAGAGTAAAAGGTATCAGAAATGATATATAAACAATAGATCATTTGGCGCTTTTTAGGTCATTGGATTCCTTATGGTGATAGATACCATCATTTTTCTTACGCAAGTCCAATCATCCTTCTCGTGTCTTGTTCTAGAAAAACTTGATGTGAAAGGGAAAACATAACACTGCATTTTGAATATGTAGTCAACTTTGGATAGAAAACAAGTTGGCAAATAATTTTGGCATGTGGAGGATATTTTAAAGAGTGAAATTTTATTATAAGATCGCCTTGGCCAACAACAGTCATAAAGGATCCATCGCAATGATTATTTTGTTGTTGTTAGGACAAAAGCATATGAAATAAATTTGTGTGAAGGATTAGTCATTCGATATATAGCTCCAAAATAAATGATCCAGGAGCTATAATTGGACATTTCTAAGACTTTAAAAATATGAGAAAAGGAGTTGGAGTCTAGTCTAGTGATAGCAGCAAGCTTTCAACTTTTTTATTTCTTCTTTTTAAAATGCAATGATTAATTCTTTGGTGTAACATTTTTCCAAGTGTGTTAAATATGCATGTCTCTGTTCTTTAGATTGTCCACCTAATGTTATTTGGATTCTGTTTGGTGGCTTGCCATGAAGTTTCTAACATATTTTCTTTTGGATGTCGAAATTTCTTGTAATATGTGCATTGTAGAAACACTCAATTGACCATCTTTGTTGGGTGCGGTAGATTGTGCTCCTCGGAAGAGAAAAATTTTGGATGAGGGTGTTTGATGTCAGTAGTCTTTATCAATAAGGTCGAACGCTCTATGAGATTATTCGTAAACATAACTCCCATTTTCCTTTCTTACATTTGAATGATGATTATGACTTCATTCAGAGAAGGAAATCCTCCATTTTGATAAGTTCTACCCTTACAACATCAAACTCAATATAAAAGGGTTTGGACTAAAAAACCACATCACATAAAATCTTATATGAGATGGGTGCAGCTAATATAAAAAAAGAACAAATTGGTAACATAAAATAAGCAAATATCAAAAACTGGTTTGACCATGCTTCTTTTAAAAGGAGAGTGGCCTTCTTTTACATAAATGTTGCTTCTAAACATGAAGAGAGGTTATTCATGCTTTGAATGGAGGGTAGAGTGAATCTATGCTTCATTTAGAAAGGGAGAAACACTACTTTTAATCACATGTTAATTCATAATGAAGGGAAGAGTTGGCCACGGTTGGCTGGTACTTGATTGCCCTAGATCATCACAAACTTTCCATTTGAAGGAGGCAGCCAGTCATGCAAATAGGAATGAAAATGCAACCTTCCCTTCTGTCCACATGCTTGATCTTAATATATTTGAATCTCATGCCTATGCCTCAAATTTGGTTCTTGTGATGCATCACAAGCCAATTGAATTTTGATTATATCAACTTCCATAATAAAGATCATGCCTTTAACTTGTTTTTATCACTTTAGGAGATATCTGGTAAGACTATGATTAGAATGAATAGTTTCTATGGTTCTACGATACTAAAACCTAATTATGTCCATAAATTAATTTTTATAAAGACATAACAGACAAGAACCAGATGAAAGCTCTTCTTCTATTGCGATGAATCTTAAAAGCAAAAGAAAAACCACAAAGAGAGCAACAACAGAGGTATATCCAAATCTCAAACAAGAACTCAATCCAAAAGTTACGGCACAAAACATTGGAAATGCAAAAAAACAAGCCCCGGGAAAAGCAATTGTTCATAGAAGAAAGTTGGGAAAAATTCCAATAAAATGGATGAATCTATGAATACTACCATTGAAGAGATCAATAATGTACTAATTTGTAGTGTTGATGGCCATATGGAGCACTGGATCCTGGACCTAGGTGTGTATTTCACTTAACTCCACAAAAAAACCTTATTTCTAACTAATCTATATAAGAGATTGCTGGAAAACTTTTCTTGCAGATGATGATTTCTTGAACATTGAGTAAGTTGGTGATTTGCAAATTAAACGTACAAATGAAACTATGCAGAATCTTCACAAGGTGAGGCATATTCTATGTTTGATGAAGAACATGATCTCACTTGGGAAGCAGGATGAAGATGAATATATCTTGAACTATTGTGACAGTGCAATAAAATAAAGATGGCCCTTTGTATATGACTTCAAACATCAAAGCAATGTGACCAACTAGTGAATTAAATATTGGCTCACATACATGGCATCAAAATTTGGGATATAAAAGCAAGAAAGGGATGAGGACATCATATTCAAATGATAAGATTTTAAATTTGAAGTTCCTGGATTTTATTTTCTATGAAGATTATGTCATTGAAAAGCAGAGGAACATCAATCTTGCACTAATTGAAAGGAAACCCAGTATAAAGAAGCTAGAGCATGTATATTCTAATAATTAGAAACCATCCCCAATGGCATCCTTTGGAGACTAATTGCACTGCATCACCTTTATCGATTACTCCAACAGGAAGATATGGGTATTTTTCATGAAAAATAATTATAATGTGTTTACATCTTTCAAAGGCTAGCAAGGCCTAGTGGAAAACAAGTGATGCAAGGATCAAGCGCATGAGATCGAAACGTGGAGGAGAATACTATAGCAAGGAGCTCAAAGGATTTTGAGCAAATAGCACAACAAGGAGAGTGCTTGACCAAAAGAGAGACAAAAAGAGAAGAGGATAAAAGAGAGTGAAAAGGAAGAAAGAGAAAATTAAAGAGATAAAAGATTAAGAAAATATATGAGCACAAATATTTGCTGCTTATACACAACTCTGAACTGGTGAGAATTTTTATTGATGTGGACGCAAATGAACGTCGTTGAACTATGTAAAGCCTGTGACCCTATTTTCTGATGTTTTATACAATTTCTCAATATAATGTTCTAATGCACAGACTTTTCTCCAACACTTGTTACCCTCGATCAAATTATTATAGTTAAAGAATGCCCAATATAATGATTCTGAAGATGATTGGTATTCAAATCACACTAAATCTTTTATCTTTCATGCATAAGCACTGACTTCATCATCATCATCACTCATTTGAACCCAATAAATTAATCTATCCGATTCAATCCTGATATAAAATCATGAAATTATGAGAGAATAGCAAGAAAATAATTATGCATGAGTTTTTTTTTTATTCTGAGAAAGTAGAATATAAATGTCAGCAGATTAAAATAGGTTAAAGATTAACAATTATGATTATTTATAGTTCACAAACTAAGGCTGTTAGAAAAACTCATAGTAAATGCGAGTCAGAATGTACCATCACTGACCTCATCTGATGTGAGGGCCGGATAGAAGCCCAGATATTTCATAGTTGCAGGCTCATAGCACTGAACCTTGTCCTTCTGCACCTGCTTTCCTTTACTTGGAATCTGCACATAAGAAAAAAAAAATCACAAGGAAAAAAGCAGACGAGAATAACAATGAAAGACACATTGTCAAAATAGAATAATTAAGATGCTACTAATCAGTAACTTGTAAGCCGCCCATCAATTAAATGAAGAATTTTTCCATCCAAAAAAGGAATAATTCAACAATGGAATCATGTTTAACACGCAATACATTTCGTTTTTCTTTAATTTGATAAATTATAGCCTGATCTTTATATTGCCCTCCATCATAAGAGCAATGAAATCAATAGAAATCACATCAATGATAGTGAATACAAACAGAATAAAAAGAAAATCCTAGAAAACTAACAGCGAGCAGAAACAGGCACTCACGTAAATGTAGCTGTTCTCCTTCGTTTGACTCCCTTCCTCCAATACTGCCACGTGTTTGAATTCATAAGCATCTAAGGGATCAAATGTCAACCAGAACATAAGAATAGTATAAAGAAGCGAGGCATTTACCATCGGATGCATCGACCTCAATGGAGGGGACATTGGGTGGGATCAACAAGAGTAGAAAGCGGCAGATCACAAAAGCGATGCCAAGGACAAGCAATGGCCACCAGAAATCCATCTCCAGAGACCTCGATGGAGAAGAAGAGCTCCGTTGGAGTAGACGGAAGTCCTCTAGGGTTTCGATGAACGGGCAATGCCGGGAAAGACGGAGAATATAAAATAAATCCGGGTTATTAATAATAAAAGTGAAATTTACATATATACAACTATATTATTATTATTTTACATATCTAATACCTTAAATATTAATATTACACTTATATCACCTAAATTTTAAATTTATTTCATTTCTGCCACTCCGTCTACCGCCTTCCTCATGACTTCTACCTTCCCACCGAATTTCTATATTCCCTCCAAATAAACACAAACCAAATGTTCAAGAATACTTCTGTTTGAGAACAAAGTTGCACGCGAGTACCTACACTTGCAAATACAGCTGCTTGTGAATACCTCGAGAATCAAAAGGTTTCGGTTTTGCTCGCAATGTCTGGCCGGGGCAGCAGGTAAAAGGAAATAAATTTCTTGGAACTTCTATTAATATGCAGAGGTATTCCTGAGGAAACTAAACTTATGCTTTTTAAAATCATTTTTCATGTTAATATATTTCTTTTATATCTGGTCGGGCAGCAGATGGTTGAATGTTCCAAGAAAAAAATTCCATGCAAATATATTTATGTTATATTTTTGTACTCCATGCCCTCAACTTACATTAATTCTATGATTTTTAAAATGTGCATATAAAGCTCATATTGTTAAGATAGTTGCTATTTGCATGCTTTACATTTTTGCAACTTATGAAGTTTTGATGATTCCAAACATTATTGTTCAAATGTGTAGTTATCTCCTAACATTTTTTTTAGAAGAATTGTATTTGCTCTTGTGTGTACTGACATTTCAGGAAAAACGAACTCCAGACTACGAAGACTTCAAATTAAATTCAGCATGCGATATTTTGTATAATTTGAAGCTTGCACTTTTCTTAGAAATCAAATTGAAAGGGAGTGGTTGTATTTTGAGTGAATAAAAACATACACACACATAAGGAGATCATATAAAATTTATACTGATCGTACAGGACGATTTCCAGTTCGTACTGGACGATCAGATAGTTATCTCCTATAGAGCATATGGAACGAATAGGAACTTGCTCGAAAAATTTTCCTAAGTCCTATTCGTCCAGGACTTAATAAATTATCATACAGGATGATTGGTTCACTAGAAAATTTTTGTCCAGACGAAATTAAATTATCGTCCGTGGCGACTGGTTCTCTGGAAATATTTCGTCCAGACAAAATTAAATATCGTCCAGGACGATCGGGTCTCTGGAAAATTTTCGTCCAGATGAAATTAAATTATCGTCCGTGGCGACCGGTTCTATGGAAATATTTCGTCCAGACGAAA